AGTAAGGGAAAGGGGAAGGGCAATCAAAAGCGTAAGTGTAAGAGCAAGGGTAAGGACAAGCAAAGGGGTAGGGGTAAGGGTAGGGATATAGGTGAGGGTAAAGATACGGGTAAGGGAAATGATTACAGTATGACCTGCATGGTTGTGTGTGGCATCGTGTCCCGATGGCATGGATATAATCACTGGTTTATGTGATTATATACATGTTGCCGTTAAGTTGCTGAAAACCTGGTGTCTGATGCGTAAAACAGCATTCACTCACCCCGACAACGGGTTACGAGAGTACTTTCATGTAGATATGCTAATCCTCCAATTGTATATCCTTATAAAAAGTGTGTCTATGGCATCCATAAGTACATGCACTACCAAACCCCCAAAATACGCGAGTGAGTGAGTTGGGTTTAACGCCGCTTTTAACAGTATTCCAGTTATATCGCGGCGTGTCAGCTTAATGTGGGAGGAAAGCCCGAAGTGATGCAGGTCTCAGACGTTTACCACTTCGGTGATACCCACGAGCATGGGTATGGCGCTGATAAACCTAGAAACATAATCGGAGCGAACCGGGATTCGAACCCACAATCATAGGTTTCTGGCGTGCCCAAAGGACGCAACTCTGCACAGCGAAAAGCACTGTAAAAGGTAAAACAGAGAATAACGATGACTGAAATCAACACACTCAATGATAACATGTCTGTAAACTCCTCCGCCGATGGTGTAAATAATACCAATTATTCATTGTCTGCTCTGGAAATGCCTTCTTGCACCAAGCTAATTAAGAGCGCAAAAGATAGTAATTCCAATATTCTAGCTCAGACCTAGTCGTTGTCGTACTAAAGATTGCTTTGTACACGTGCTGCCAAATCGCGTTGGACCTATTACAGACATGTACAATCCTTTAGGTCACTCCATTGGACTTATGTAGTCCCAGGACCCGTGAAGATCCGGGCTAGAATAGGTCTTCAGGAACCCATGCTGTAAGAGGCGACTATGCTTGTCGTAGGAGGCGACTAACGGGATCGGGTGGTCAGGCTCGCTGACTTGCTTGATGCATCATGTTTTCGTATCGCAATTGCTTTGATCGATGCTCATGATGTCAATCACTGGATTGTCTGGCCCAGACGCGATTATTTACTGACTGCCGTCATATAGCTGGAATATTGCTGAATGGGGCGTTAAACAACAAACAAACAAACATGTAGTTCATGTGTTTTCTATTTTAAGGTAGGAAGGGTTCATTCTGGAAGAAGAAAAGTAATTGTTCTCTTACCATGCTGTTTCCTACAGCCAGAGATCACAATAATTATGGTGTTGATACAAGACCATTTAAACAGTATCGCCGTTATCATACACGGAGACATGACATCTGTTATAAGATCCATAGAAGTCAAAGTTAACATCCTTATCACCAGTTCTCCATGGGCCAGCTGAGCCACGAAACAAGGTTCCATAAAGGCGGCCACCACATTCTGTTTCTTCTATTGTGAGTGGGCTGCGGACTGGAGCGGCATGGGCACCGAATCCACTGATACAGGTTAAAGGGGGGGATTTTAAACAACTTTTAATTTAATAATACTAGATTATGGTGCTCTCATCACACTATCGGATCTCTGGCCCATCACTTGATTGTCCGGTATCTTCACATGTCGCCATCGCATTGCAGGAGTACTGTTTGCGGTGTTGGGCAGCAAACACATGTTTTTTATGCAAATTGTGTGAGTAACGGGTAATACAGGGCGGGACAAGCTCACCCTTCTCGCGAAAACATACTTAGTGTCATCACTGAGTTTCAGTGATCCATTCATAAAACTAACCGCTGTTTTGCCATTTCCGCGCAATAGTATCTGTTTCGTCGGATAATCGGGACTGGTTATTCTCTGTCATTGACGTTTTGAATTGAGGTACAAGTAAATTCTAAAGAAATAGTGCCCAGCACTTTATCAAAACACAAACACAGCCACTAAAGGATGCCCTCTGGTCTGTAACAAGTGTATGTATCTTTTCGAAGATGGGTATTTCTCAAATCTTTGTTATTTAATCTAACTATCAAAATAAAGAAGGAAGGGTATCAGTGTGCATTCCGTTTCGCAAGGCATAGTTGTAAACTACCGCGATAAATTCACATTTACTTTTGAGGCACACGGGGCATGTTGACACTTTTGCATAAAGTACGATTAATTATATTGAACTTTAAAAAATATTTTACCACCATATGGATAAAACGTTCATTTATAAGACGTCATAAAACAGAGAATCACAGTCTCGATTGTCTGCCGAAATAGATTCCATTGGGCGTAAAAAGAAAAACAGTTGTGCAAAGTACATGAATGGATCACTGAAACTCGGCCAAGAGCGTTGCCTCGCTTCTCATGCATTTTTGCCGTAAGCCCCACGGGACCTGTCGTAAAATGAATTTAAATTTCGGCTTCATCAATTCATATTGGCGATGGTAATATGTCGTTAAAAGACTCCCGATATACGTCAGTTCGAGAACCAAGATGAACAGCAACACTATACCTGCACACATCCTTGAGATAAGTTACTGTCAGCATCAACAGTCTATTACTATTCACTGCATAAATTGAAGACCAGTGGACACGAAAACATAAATAATTGTTTCTAGATTTGCAACGATGATGAAGGTATAATACTGTGTAACATTGCCATCTATATCTGTGTAGATTCATAAGATCTGAAGTCGTGTCGAATTATTGTTAAAACTTAAATAAACTTTACGTGTAAGCAGAGTTACGTCTGCAGGTTCCAATAAATGTGACCATTTGCAATATGGTCTTTAATTACTTTGTGTTATCCACACACAATTGACGCTCTTTCACGTGTACGCCTTTCGAACCGAATGTGTGTGAACATTTACGAATTCGTATTTTATATCTCATATTAATTATGAATATTGATGACTTTCTCCATGATTATCTATCCTGTTAAGGTGACATATATCCCTCATGAGGTTCAATGAATTATGAAGCGGTTCAATAACAATCAGATAGGCCATTTCCTTCCACTGATTTCCACACATGAACCAGACATTAAGGAGACCAGTGAGACCGCCTCATCTATTTCATATTTGGATCTATGCATTAAGAGTGACAAAACACTCTCCACAAGACTGTATGTCAAAAGGGACGACTTTACAATAGTCAACTTTCCCTTCATGTTGAGCAATATTCCAGCAGCTCCAACTTTTGGTGTTTATATTTCACAACTTTAGAGGTACAATCGGATATGCTCTTTCTACCAAGATTTCAAAGAGTGTCATACGACTCTTGCTCAGAAGTTGTTTGATCAAGGTTACACCATTTAAGGCCTCAGAAGAGCTTCAACAGTTTTATTGTAGACATGTGGAGGACATTTCCACACTTTTTGTTTAACATCACACACAGCAATATTCCAACTATATGACGGCGGTCTGTAAATAACCAGACAATCCAGTAATTTCCTATCATGGGCACCAATCCACGCAACTTGGATACGATGACATGCATCAGCAAAGTCAGCGAGTCTGACCACCCGATCCCATAAGTCGCCTCATCACGGGTCATTATTGGAATAGTATATGTTGTTTGTTGTCCCCTTCCTACTATATATGTTGTTTGGTGTCATCTACCTACAGTATATGTTGTTTGTTGTCCCCTTCCTACTATATATGTTGTTTGGTGTCATCTACCTACAGTATATGTTGATGGTTGTCATCTTCCTACAGTATATGTTGTTTGTGTCATATACCTACAGTATATGTTGTTTGTTGTCATCTACCTACAGTATATGTTGTTTGTTGTCATCTACCTACAGTATATGTTGTTTGTTGTCATCTACCTAGATTATATGTTGTTTGTTGTCATATACCTACACTATATGTTGTTTGGTGTCATCTACCTACAGTATATGTTGTTTGTTGTCACCTACCTACAGTATATGTTGTTTGTGACATCTACCTACAGTATATGTTGTTTGTTGTCATCTACCTACAGTATATGTTGTTTGTTGTCATCTACCTAGATTATATGTTGTTTGTTGTCATATACCTACACTATATGTTGTTTGGTGTCATCTACCTGCAGTATATGTTGTTTGTTGTCACCTACCTACAGTATATGTTGTTTGTGACATCTACCTACAGTATATGTTGTTTGTTGTCATCTACCTAGATTATATGTTGTTTGTTGTCATATACCTACACTATATGTTGTTTGGTGTCATCTACCTGCAGTATATGTTGTTTGTTGTCACCTACCTACAGTATATGTTGTTTGTGACATCTACCTACAGTATATGTTGTTTGTTGTCATCTACCTACAGTATATGTTGTTTGTTGTCATCTACCTAGATTATATGTTGTTTGTTGTCATATACCTACACTATATGTTGTTTGGTGTCATCTACCTGCAGTATATGTTGTTTGTTGTCACCTACCTACAGTATATGTTGTTTGTGACATCTACCTACAGTATATGTTGTTTGTTGTCATCTACCTACAGTATATGTTGTTTGTTGTCATCTACCTAGATTATATGTTGTTTGTTGTCATCTACCTACAGTTTATGTTGTTTGTTGTCATCTACCTACAGTATATGTTGTTTGGTGTCATCTTCCTACAGTATATGTTGTTTGGTGTCATCTACCTACAGTATATGTTGTTTGGTGTCATCTACCTACAGTATATGTTGTTTGTTGTCATCTACCTACAGTATATGTTGTTTGTTGTCATCTACCTACAGTATATGTTGTTTGGTGTCATCTACCTACAGTATATGTTGTTTGTTGTCATCTACCTAGATTATATGTTGTTTGTTGTCATATACCTACAGTTTATGTTGTTTGTTGTCATCTACCTACAGTATATGTTGTTTGTTGTCATCTACCTACAGTATATGTTGTTTGTTTGCATCTTCCCGCGTTTTGATACAAACATGTAGTTATTTCCTAATCGATTTCTAACCGTCGAAAAGCCGACGGAACCTTGAACTACACCGTAACGTTTCAAAGTTGACAATATCAGTTTATTTACACAAAAATGAAGATATGGTACATTTTCCTTGATTGTCCCCAGTAGAACAGGCAGTACAGCACTAAGGCAAGCTCAAGTTGAAAAAAACCCATTCATATGCTAAGCAGTAGTCTCATGTACAACACGACATCACCAATGGATTCATATGACTTCATTCTAATAGTTTGAGTGATTTAGTGATAAATGAACATGTCAAGTAAAGATGAAAGTACGGCCTGTTAGTAACAGGAATGTTACGAGCATCAGTGAAAAGCTTTCGTCAAGCTTTTCCGATTATCAAATAATTTTATTCCCACGAACAAAATATTACCCATGCACTTTCCTTTCAATTGTTTACAGCAAAAGGGTTGTACCTCCAAAATCAACCAATGAGCTTTTGCATTGTGAGGGGTCTTCAATGCTATTGGTTCGTTTTGGAGGTAACATTACTAGAGGATGTACGTTCAGTGTCATGGTACAAATGCATGATACCATAACCTACTGATTCATTAAAAGACTTATATGGTGTTGTATCCATTACGAGGTCCCTTGAAATACATGGTGCACATTAAATCAGGAAATTCACTATAACCATTTGATAACAATGATTGTTAGGTAGTTGTAAAATGTAGCAGGTTATAAAATGCCCAAGTGAAGACGCCATAAACAGTCGATAGGCAGTGGGGTGATCACATCCAACTCTATACGTACAAAGAAGCCCCGGAACATTATATACATATTTGATAAAAAATGTAAATTTTCGTGGGTGTATCACAGTTGCTGTATCACACATACATAGACTGAATGGTCTGTTTACATTGTAAGTCTGTTGAGCAGCTTGTTCTGTGCAACAGGGACACAAATCCACAACACAAACAGTTTTTATGTGTATGTTGCTCAGCTCAACGCTTATATGTAAAGAAGAACATTGTAATTATCAAGGGAATCACTGTTGAACAAACGATGTGATATCAAATCTCAAATAGGAAGTACGATCGTTGAGCAATAGCGAAGTCACGACATTGGTTCATTAAATTGCCACTCTGGGATTCGGTGTGGTTGGCCTCTCTTAAAGCCTTTACACGATGACATTACATCGTCCTAGGTCACTTTTTCGTGAAGTTGAGGATGACCCTGTCCAACGCAATTCATCACAACTCAGCACAATTAGTTGTCTAATCGTGACAATAGCTAGTTTGTTCGCTTTATGTTGGCATTTTCATTAGACAAGATATTATACATCTGGAAGAATGATCAACTGAAAACGTTTTTACAGATGTCAGACTTCCGATAGAAGGCCATCTTTGAACTTCCGGCTACCTATGCGTACGTGCAAGGATGGACGTGGTCTACCCACCAGTGACAATCGTCGTATTTGTGATTCTTCCATTTGAACTGTTGGACCACAACAAGGTCTACAGAATAAATACACAAAGTTTCTCCAGAATATTGTGTTAAATATGCAATAGATTACAAAATTACAAGCCGAATTGACAAGTAGTAGCAAGTCTGTGATCTCCCGCACGCCTCGTTGCAGGAACTTCTCCTCATAATATCCGATGCCGAAGAATGTCGACATAATTGCATCTGGGGTGATGCAGACGAGAAACACGATGATTACGACGATCAACATGACGGTGATGCGGTGTCGTCTACTCGACTTTGATCGGCCGATCCTACATCGCCTCATTCCGTAGATGATGCAGGTGTTAAGGACAATTAGGATACACAACGGGATGATCGAACGCAGAAAGTTCTGAAGCCAGGTATATGTCGTTGAAAATGTCTCGTTCATCCACAGGTCGGATACCTGCAGATCGTAGTAATGATGGGATGTGGTATTGTTGAATTGCTCCACTGTCCTGTAACGCATGGCGTAAGGTATAGCCAGTATGCTCATGATGAGGAACACAGACGTGGAAATAGTCCTGGCACGTGATATACCACAGTAGTGCTTCACTTTGGTCGGGTGACAGACGTAAATGTATCGCTCCACTGCCACAGACACTGTCAGCCACGCGGATATACACAGAGAAGAGTTAAAAATATAGTGCGCGTAGGGATATAAAAACCCAAACGCCATATTACCCCTAGGGAAGTCGATTTCTAGTAACAAAATCACCATGAAGTATAGAAAGTCACTGATGAGTTTGATGCAATCAGAGATAGCTAAGGCGAGAAGGTACACATTTGTAGATGACGTCATCTGTTTCTGACACATGACGATAATGCTGAGGACATTTCCAACCAATCCAAACACACACACGATGGGGTAGCATATTAGCCCTGTTACAAAGCGAGCTTGCACGTAGAAGTCCTCATAGCCATCGCTTTCCCGTATACCGCTGTATACGACGCTTTGGTTGACTAGCTCCTGCATCTCAGCGCCGAACACCTCCGAACCCTCACGTGAAACCGTCATCAGGTCAAGGGTCAGATCACTCCGGCTTCTGGAACATACAAATGATAAAACTGTATTAACATCTCCTCCCGTGGCTTAGGATGTGAACGAAAGCGTTTTCAGACATATGCAGTAAACTACGGTTATAACGAACTCAAAGGGACCACAAATTTTAGTTCGTCATAACCGTAGTTCATTATAAGCATATATACAGCAATTGACCGGGACCAGAACACAGTTCCCTATATCCATCAGGTCGTTATAAACGTAGTTTACTGTACTCGCATTTTTCGTAATTAATTTAAAGATTAACAGTATTGCAGCAACTGAACGTCAACGTCAGGACACAAGTTGGGCATACGCTTTAGTCATAGGGTGCGCAGAACCTATATATCAAGCATTAAAGGCAAAATCATTTATCATTTGGCTTGCCCACCGGACCATGTAACGTTTGAGTGTTCATTGCAACAGTCAAATGCTTTTCAAATAAATAAAAACAATTGAACCCTTTTAATAATCACATGAAATCTCTGGTAAAGGGAGAGTCCATATACCATAAGTATGCTTTTGTGATTCACTATCAAATATAGATGATACCAGCTGTTCGTAAAAAGGTGAGCGTATCATGCCCAATCGGTCACCCGTAACAAACACTTGCAAAGGCAAGTCAAGTCACCTGAACAAATCGTGCTTTTTATTGCCGTCATTCCAATAATTTTATCCCATAATAACACATGTGCATGACGTCAAAATATACCGTGAAGATCGCCTTTACTGTGGTAATAAGAGTTTTCTTAATTATTTTGTTTTATGTCATTTTTGTGTCATCCAAAATGTTGATAACGGTGAAAAAAGCCACAAAAAATAGTCCAAACCATTCTCTTAACTAATTTCAGAAATGTTTATGATTGAGTAGGTTAATATGGATGTGAAGTAACCAATTGACATTTCTTAAAAAACCGTTCTCTGAAACAAAAAAGCCATTTCATTATGATATTTAGTCACAATTTATTTCTATTTTAACCTCAGGCCTAAGTGACCTAAATGAAAGCGACAAAACCCTTTCCATATGCATAAAAAGAATCCCTCGATTGTACAATTCCGACTATATCATGAGCATGAAAACGTACAACTTTATGGATAACAACTTCTGGTTTATTGCATATTTATTGGATGTTATCCATAAAGTCATACGTTTTCCAACTTACGCAACACCATCTAGAATGCCAATCAATCAGTTATATCATGAGCAGGATATCAAATAGTGACGATACCAGGTATTCGACCAAAGGTAAGCGTAACCTCTCCCACAAATCACGAGAAAAGGAAGTATCTTGCAGTGCTTAGGAAATACTATATTGCTAAAGAGCATCGTGTATTTATGATCACAAATACATCAAAGAAACATATCACCACCCTTTCCACAAAACGATTCATAAAAGCACAATAGCACTGGCTTGTGACATCGATTGCCTGTTATCGTATATTAAAGTTGCCAATCAAATATCGCAGGACGGCTACTTTAAGCAAGGGTTAATAAGTGCCTGAAAGAGTGAATGAATTCGAATTACCACAGCATGAGGAGCACGTGTTTTGTTTTATTTATCCAAACAGGTTGTAAAGGGTTGAGTAGGCCTTTGGCATGTATCGACCGGCATGATATACTTTATGTTCCATTTCATCAGAACACGTCCGCGGTAATATAAACACCTACTGCAAGCTATGGCCATCATCAGTCAGGTATTCCTGACACCAAAATGCTTTTAATCATTCAAAGGTTAGTTTGGGGGCATTGTATCGTGTCACACACACACATTTAAAATTGTAACCGTCAGTTCAAGAGTACCAATACACAGGTTTGCTCTATTTGCTGAGTGAAACAAAGTCTTTGTCATCAAGAAGCTCTGGCACTCCCAGTATCCACTCCAATACTTCAAGCTTCTTCCTAGTCTTAAAGAAGTCAATGCAAAACATCGATTCCTGGATTACATGTTTTTTGCATTATGTGTGATCTTTGGAGAAATACAATATTGCCGAATGACTACTAGAGTGCGCTTGTGGATGTTAAAACAGCGTGAAAAGGAATATTGGAGAATTAATGGATTTTGGTACCATTATGTAAGAACATGTAAACATTAACTTTGTAGAATCAACATTCAGATTTTAATGAGAGGAATCTATTCTGAATCGTTAATCGTAATTGCACAGAAGTACAGAGAGAATATTGATTTGTGACAGTGTAGCACACTTTGAGGATGTTGTATCTCACTCTCTTTATATAATTGTACAACAGACTAATTATTTTTTTCCACATTTGGTTTGAAGTACTGAAAATCTTGAATAAATATCAATACTTTAAAAAAACACAACCTATATGCTCAAGTTCATTTAGCGAGTGAATTAACGTGTTTACCAGATTTAGTCAATCGTCCTCATTGAAATTCGAGACGGCTATGGCGTTCATGTACAAAATTGAAACCTCAGTTGCATCAGCATTAGACTTTTCCCTTTAAAATGTATTCTTGATTTTTACTACAAATAAAAGTAAATATTATAAGCAAAAAAGATAGAGATCATGAATATTTGGGGGATTTTTTTAGTAGACTGAGCTCAAAATGTCCTAAAAATATACCCCAAAATATTCATAATCCCTATCTGTTTTGTTCTGTTTAGGAAAACAAATTAAATAAGAAACACAAACATCATGTTACGTTCAGTATGGTTGATGGCGGCACGTGGTAGAGCTGTCAGCAAGCAATACGCCGAACGTCATCTACAACATGGCCCATGAGTCCTGGTGAACGTACTGGAGCTACTGGGGTAACAATCGCTTCCAACTTAGAGAGCCAGGCTGGAATGAATCATCAAAGTCCCAACTATTCGTCGTAAAATTTCCATCTGTTCACCGTAATGGATCGATGTCGATTGGACACTTCCTGTGGAGGCACCTGTCATTCATCATTGATGATTTAATGATGATATTGATGATATGTTCAATTTCGTCTACTTTTAAGTGTTGTTGTTCCCAGTGTCATTTCCTTTATGGACAATACATTTGCGCAATGTCTGCAGACAAGTAGAATAATGTTGTCGTAAATGTGAGCATTGTTGGTGTACACTTGCACTGTCCTTCACCTATTGATCTCAGGACAGCTCATCGGAGACATACGATATTCGATTATAAGGGATTGTACTGTGTTGATCGATGTATACCTCCAGGGATTGCCACTTGAGTTATTGAGGTAGCTGCCAATAGTTCGATTTCATTATTCGTCCTACTTTCAAATAGCGGTAGGTATGTTAAGTTTCGATTTCGTAACAGAGAAAATAATAATGTGACTAAAACATTTTTTTATAGTACAACAGCGATGTTCCAAGCCAGATATATCTGTACATAATAAGAAAGTGCCGTGGATATAGAATAGGTCACCAGCGGTTCATCACCAATTGGTGGTATTTTGACACTTTCGCCGCGAGGAGAAATAGCTAATTCTTTAAATAATCAAACAGTTTGATGTATGTTATGTAACAAAACTAGAGCAGGGAGTCAATATAATGTATATAATGATCGGTGTATATGGAAATAAGGATCAGTGTATATGTATATAAGGATCAGTATGTGAGTACATAAGGATCAGTGTGTAAGTATATACTGATCAGTGTATATGTAAATAAGGATAAGTGTATATGTATATGAGGATCAGTGTATATGTATATAAGAATCAGTGTATATGTATGTAAGGATCAGTGTATATGCATATAAGGATCAGTGTATATTTATATAAGGATCAGTATGTAAGTACATAAGGATCAGTGTATATTTATATAAGGATCAGTGTATATACATATAAGGATCAGTGTATATGTGTATAAGGATCAGTGTATATGTATATAAGGATCAGTGTATATTTATATAAGGATCAGTGTATATGTACATAAGGATCAGTGTATATGTACATAAGGATCAGTGTTTATTTATATAAGGATCAGTGTATATTCATATAAAGATCAGTGTATATGTATATAAAGATCAGTGTATATGTATATATACGGATCAGTGTATATGTATATATACGGATCAGTGTATATGTATGTAAGGATCAGTGTATATGTATATGAGGATTAGTGTATATGTATATAAGGATCAGTGTATATGCATATAAGGATCAGTGTATATGTACATAAGGATTAGTGTATATGTATATAAGGATCAGTGTATATTTATATAAGGATCAGTGTATATGTACATAAGGATCAGTGTATATTTATATAAGGATCAGTGTATATTTATATAAGGATCAGTGTATATTCATATAAAGATCAGTGTATATGTATATAAAGATCAGTGTATAATGTATATATACGGATCAGTGTATATGTATATATACGGATCAGTGCATATGTATGTAAGGATCAGTGTATATGTATATATACGGATCAGTGTATATGTATGTAAGGATCAGTGTATATGTATATGAGGATTAGTGTATATGTATATAAGGATCAGTGTATATGTATTGAAGGATCAGTGTATATACATATAAGGATCAGTGTATATGTATATGAGGATCAGTGTATATGTATATAAGGATCAGTGTATATGCATATAAGGATCAGTGTATATGATTATAAGGATCAGTGTATATGCATATAAGGATCAGTGTACATGCATAGAAGGATCAGTGTATATGTATATACGGATCAGTGAATATGTATGGAAGGATCAGTGTATATGCATATAAGGATCAGTGTATATGCATATAAGGATCAGTGTATATGCATATAAGGATCAGTGTATATACATATAAGGATCAGTGTATATGTATATAAGGATCAGTGTACATGTATATGAGGATCAGTGTACATGTATATGAGGATCAGTGTATATACATATAAGGATCAGTGTATATGATTATAAGGATCAGTGTATATGCATATAAGGATCAGTGTATATGCATATAAGGATCAGTGTATATGATTATAAGGATCAGTGTATATGCATATAAGGAGCAGTGTACATGTATATGAGGATTAGTGTATATGTATATA